ACTCCAGAAGTTTTAGTAAGAGCCAGCTGGGTTTGGAGCTTCCCCATCTGTCCCCTGGTCATTTGTGATCATTTGATGAAATCTCCAGGCACAACCAGAATCACAGCAGGGGACCAGAGGAAGGAAACCTCAGGCTGAACCCTGGAACAGCTGGTTTTCCAATCCAGCATTTCTTAATTCCTTTTTAAGACACCCCCCCCCCGGCAACCCCACAAATGTTTACCCTCTTCACGCCTTCGCCTCTCAAATAAGTGGTGAAATGCAAAAAGGCTTTTCTAACACCTCTGGAGGAAATAGAACTATGACTATCATTAAGTGTTGTACCATATGATTCTTGATGAACGTATCTTTTCTTTTATGTACACCAAGAGCGTATGCGCCAAGACAAATTCCTTGTGTGTCCAATCACACTTGGCCCATAAAAAATTCTATTCTATTCTATTCTATTCTATTCTATTCTATTCTATTCTATTCTATTCTATTCTATTCTATTCTATTCTATATTCTATATCCTACTCTACTCTACTCTACTCTACTCCTATTCTATTCTATTCTATTCTCTATATTATATATTCGATATCCTACTCTACTCTACTTTACTCTACTCTACTCTATTCTATATCCTACTCTACTCTACTCTATTCTATATCCTACTCTACTCTACTCTACTCCTATTCTATTCTATTCTATTCTATTCTATTCTATTCTATTCTATTCTATTTCTATTCTATTCTATTCTATTCTATTCTATTATTTTCTATATCCTACTCTACTCCTATTCTATTCTATTCTATTCTATATTCTATATCCTACTCTACTCTACTTCTCTTCTCTTCTCTTCTCTTCTCTTCTCTCTCTTCTCTATTCTATATCCTACTCTACCTATTCTATTCTATTCTATTCTATTCTATTCTATTCTATTCTATTCTCTATATCCTATATTCGATATCCTACTCTACTCTACTCTACTCTACTCTATATTCTATATCCTACTCTACTCCTATTCTATTCTATTCTATTCTATTCTATTCTATTCTATTCTATTCTATTCTATATATTCTATATTCTACATCCTACTCTACTCTACTCTATTCTATTAGCAGAGCTGCTAATATTTCCTGAATTGCCAGAACACGTCATGCACATGTTAAGGATGAATCAATAACACACAACTTGGCTCACTTCCTTGAGTTATCTGTCCAGCAAAAAAAAAAAACCAACCAACCCAAAGCACTCATATTATTTGTTGCTTCTCTACTGTGATACAGGGAGTTCTCGAATCACGACCGCAACCGAGCCCAAAATTTACACTGCTAAGTGAGAAACGCGCAAAGTGAATTTTGGTCCATTTTACGGCTTTTCTTGCCACAGCTGTTAAGTGAATTGCTACGGTTGTTAAATTAGTTAACACGGTTATTAAGTGAATCTGGTTTCCCCATTGACTTTTGCTTGTCAGAAGGTTGCAAAAATTGGTTGACACTGCAAGCGTCATAAATACGAGTCAGTTTCCAAGCGTCTGAATTTTGATCGTGTGACCATGGGGATTCTACAGCGGTCGTTAAGTGTGAAAAAACGGACATAATAAGTCACTTTTCTCAGTGCCGTTGTAACTTTGAATGGTCACTGAATGGACTGGTTGTAAGTTGAGGATTACCTGTAGAGACATCCAAGATCTTATACAGATGGTATTCCTTGCAGTCAGAGAATGTTTAAGTGATGTAATTGTTTTAAACTTAAAAAAAAAATATTTTCCCCTTTGTAGAATAACATTTGCGTTTAATCCTTATTTCTTAAATTGGGAAACTCAAGGACAGAAAATTCTGCTCCCATGTATTTACTTGGTCTTTAATCTACAGTAGTGGCCAAAATTGTGGAAACCTTTTGGGAAAAGTGTATTTTCTAAAACTAGCTAATAACATCACTATCTTTTGGAGTAGTACCATAAAATTATATATCAATGGAAATATAATTTAATCAAGAATGTAATGCAATGACTTTTATGAAGGATTTGCTCTTAGAATAGCAGTTATAGTATAAAGAAGAAAAAGGAAACACATAGAAAAAAAATGAGATATACAAAAATGATCACCATAGAAAAAATGAGACATGAAAAAATCATCACCATGTCAGTTAATACTTCGTTGGGTAACCTTTAGCATGAATGATGGCCTTACAACGTCTTCCCATGGAGTGAACCAAGTCTTTGAGTTCTGCAGCTGTTCTAATGTGAAACCAAGATTGAATGATGGCTTCTATTAACTGGGTTTTAGTGCTGGGTCGCTTCTGACTAACAAGTTTCTTTAGTCAGCTCCATAGATTTTTCAATTGGGTTAAGATCTGGGCTATTCCCAGGCCATTCCAGCAGTGGAATAGGATTATCTTGAAACTCCAAAAAAAAAAAAAAAGTGCTGTTATTAGGCATCAAACCTCAAAAATACACTTTTCCCAAAAGGGAACAACTTAAGTGTTTAATAAAGGGATCTTTCTTGGACTATTTATTAATGTGTTCTATCTATCTATCTATCTATCTATCTATCTATCTATCTATCTATCTATCTATCAATCAATCTATCAATCGATCATCTATCTATCTATCTATCTATCTATCTATCTATCTATCTATCTATCTATTTATGGCAACAGGACTCTCTGGATGCAAATTCGCACATCATTATATCCCAGCAATGGGGATACCCAGAATAACAAGATCATTAAAAAGATTCTATAATAAAACACAAATCATAAATGAAATGCAGACACACACACTTCTATATAACGGGACTTCTCATGAGACATCTCCCTTCTGCCCATTTTAATAAAAGTTGGATCTTATCTCGGGCGGAAGTGCAGCATCCATTAAAGATGCTTTAAACATCCTCCAAGCTCACTCTTTCAAACAGAAACTGCAACAATATTACAAATATGACATTTTGTTTTCTTTTAAAAATCAACGCTTTCTGAAAATCGAAGAGACAGAAGCTGCAACAATTATCACAAAACTTTTTTTAAAAAAATCTCCATTTTCTGCAAAAATGGGACAGGAACTGCAAGGATGATGATAAAACTTTTATTTTTTTTTAATCTGCATTTTCTAAAAGTCGAACAGACAGGCCTGAGCCTTGTTGTGTTAAATAAGGATTTCTGAAAAAAAAAATTAAAGTCTAATCCAGTCTGGGGGGGGGGGCAGGCAAAAGAGTCACCAAAGCAAATAACAAAAGTTTTTCAACATTGTGTGAACAAACAGTAAGAGCTGTCGAATAGGGAGACTGATGGCTTGGGAAGGTTTTTTTTAATAGCAAAACCAACATTTTACTTCTAGTTGTGAAAACAATTAACAGCCTCTTTTCTCCCTGAGAATCAAAACAGAGCCAAAGATTACCAAGAAGGGGAAATTGAGATCGGGTAGCAGCAGCAAAATGCACTAAATTTTAACCTTCATCCATCAGGTTTTTTCCCCCTTTTTGAAACGAAGGCGATGCTAGCTGGTTTCCCTCTAAGGCAAATTATTTGCACCCATCGCATTCAATGCACCCCGTTAATGCAAAATAATAATCATAATATTAAAAAAAAAAAAACCCAAATCTCATCTTTCCATCGCTTCCCACATTGCACCCAACCCGAGAAAGCACGCCGGGGCACATTTTCAAGCCATGCAACCGGAGCCTTCGGTTTTTTTGCAAAAGTTTGCAAAAAGCATCACACAATGGGATGCATCGTCACCCCGTTTTTCTCTTTGCAACGGAGCGGCAGAACCGAAAAGCCCCCCCACCCCGACCTTCACAAGCCCCCTCCCCAGTCATGCAACAATGACAACAACATCAAAAAGGGAGCCCCCCCCCAAATTCCCCAAACCTCGCGCTTTGCAATCGGGGCTTCTGTTTGGAGGAGGAGGAGAAGGAGGAGGAAGAAGAAGAGGAAGAAGAAGGAGGCGGTGGCGAAGGAGGGAAGGAGAAAGAAGGAGAGGGAGAAGGAGAAAGAAAGAGAAGGAGAAGGAAAGGAGGAAGAGGAGGAGGAAGAAAGAGAAAGGAGAGGAAGGAGAAGGAGAAAGGAGAGGGAGGAGGAGGAGAAGGGGAAGGAGAAAGAAAGAGAAGGAGAAGGAGAAGGAAAGGAGAAGCAGAGGAGGGAGCAGGAGAAAGAAGGAGAGGGAGAAGGAGAAGGAGAAAGAAAGAGAAGGACAAGGAAAGGAAGAGGGAGAAGGGGAAGGAGAAAGAAAGAGAAGGAGAAGGAAAGGAGAAGCAGAGGAGGGAGAAGGAGAAAGAAGGAGAGGGAGAAGGAGAAGGAGAAAGAAAGAGAAGGAGAAGGAAAGGAGGAAGAGAAGGAGAGGAGGAGGAAGAAAGAGAAAGGAAAGGAAAGAGAAGGAGAAGGAAGGAGAAGGAGAAAGGAGAGGGAGGAGGAGAAGGGGAAGGGGAAAGAAAGAGAAGGAGAAGGAAAGGAGAAGGAGAAGAGGAGGAGGAGGAAGGAGAAAGAGAAAGGAGAGAAAGGAGGAGAAGGAGAAAAAGGAAGAAGGAGAAGGAGAAAGAAAGAAGGAGAGGGAGGAGGAGAAGGGGAAGGAGAAAGAAAGAGAAGGCGAAGGCGAAGGCGAAGAAGAAGAAGAAGAAGAAGAAGAAGAAGAAGAAGAAGAAGAAGAGAAAGAAGTGAGGAGGAGGAGGAGAAGGGGAAGAGAAGAAAGAGAAGGGAAGAAAGGAGAGAAGAAGAAGAGGAGGAGAAGGAGAAAGAAAGAAGAAGAAGAAAAAGAAGAAGAAGAAGAAAGAAGGAGAGAGAGGAGAAGAAGGAGAAGAAAGAGAAGAAGAAAAGGAAGAAGAAGAAGAAGAAGAAGAAGAAGAAGAAGAAGAAGAAGAAGAAGAAGAAGAAAATAAAATAAAATAAAATAAAAACAAAAACCCAGAGGATGCACAACCCTTGCTCAGTTTCCCAAGAAGCGGGAAGAAGATGCATCCGCCCGACAACATCATCATCATCCCTTAAGTAAGCAGGTAGGTAGGTAGGTAGAGGCCACTCACCATTCGATGGGAGAGAGAGGTTTCCAGAGCCACTTTTAACTAAGAATGAATTGGGGACAAACTCTTCTTCGGAGTCAGACTCCTGAGTTGGCTGGGCGACACCATCGCCTAGCAACCTTCTCTGGCTCTCATTGGCTGGCGGGGAGGGGGGTGGGGAGGGGGAGGGAGAGGGGGAGGGCTCCACGGGGGTGGAGGAGGCAGATGAGCAATGCAAGGGGGGGCCTGTGGAACACAAAACACAAAACACAAGACAGAACATAAATAACAGAAACTTTGCACCCAAACCGGGAAATCAAACACATAAAGGGGGAAATTATAAATATAAATATATATATATATATACTTGCATGCACATATATATATGCACACATATATATGCACACATACGCACATGGATATAGAAACTGACATCTCTCCGTACAGAGCAGACACCTGAAGCATGCCACAAAGGTGGAACGTTTTAAAATAAAAGTGGAACATTTTAAAATAAAAGACAAAACGGGACACCGGAGAAAGTGGTTTCAGCTTTCCGGGGGGAAAAAAGAAGGGGAGGGGGCAGGCCGGATTGCAAGGTGTGGGGCAAGAGAGAATATTTGCAAAAGTGGCAGCCAAATCTGGCCTCGTGCAATTTGTAGGATGCTGCAAAAGAAGCTTGCAAATCTCTTGCTAGGAAAAACAGAAGTTTTTCCTAGCCAACAGCTAGGCTCGGATGTCATCGACAGATCAAATAATATGCCACGATAAACAAACAAAAGGTATTGAGGTTGGATTAAATCATACGTCTGGGTGATTTCTAAGCCAACCGATCGGTCCCTCTAAGGACAGGTTGAAGATTGCAACAGCACGGAATTGCATGATGAAACTGGTTAGTAAGAGGCCGGCGAAGATTTCAAAACCAACTTTGGAGAGGTGTCGTGTTTTTTTTTTTTTTTAAAAAAGATGCATCAGAGGAGAAAAGAGGGGAAAACATAGAAACTTTCGTGGTTGAGAGATGTGAGATCGTCTGGCCGCGTTCACATGTAACTTTAAGCCAGGTTTTTTAAATCGTGGATTTCCTGTGCAGTGCCCTGGTTTGAAATCGAGGGGTTAAGCCAGCGATGGGATTCAAGTAATTTAACAACCAGTTCTCGGCCCTAATGATTTCTTCCAACAACCAGTTTGCCAAACTACTCAGAAAGTTAACAACCGGTTCTCCCGAACTGGTGCGAACTACTACTACTACTACTGGGTTAAGCCCAAAGGAAGCAAATCCAGGATAGTGGGTTTGTGTTATATTGTGAACCAGAGCATTTAATTTTTTGGAAAGAAAAATAGGGGATGGGGGAGACGAAACCTAGTTTGTCTACTTATCCTGGTTTTTGTCGAAAAAGCCAGGATAGGTAGCGTCTCCCTAATGAAGGCCATCAGATGTCCATGCAGCTTACAAGGCCCTTCACACAATGGGAAGAAAGCCAGAAAGCTAGGCCTGATTGATTAACTAAGCCAGGTTGGTCAGGGTGTTCATGTGTCCTGCTAAACCACGAATCGTGGTTTGCGAATCAGACACCACGTTCCGACCACAAGAAAAAAAAAGGAAACCTTTGGCATTCTGCTTGAAGTTCATCCGGGGGTCTTTGGAGGTTGCTAAATCTGAAATGTAGGAAGTGAGGTGAGAACAGGAACTGTTTGATGCCCTCGAAAAAGTCAATAATTCTTTTGACCTGTCCATCAAAAATCTATTGACCTGTCCATCAAATGCAAGAAACCGAAAAAAACGTATGGGTAGTCTTTGATTTTATGACCAAAATTGAGCCCAAATTTCCAATGCTAAGCGAGTTAGGTGAGTTTGGCCCCATTTAACAACCTTTTATCACCGTCGTTAAGTGAATCATGCGGTTGTTAAGCGGATCTAGCGTCCCCTCCCCAGTTGCCGAGCAACAGAATTTCGATCATGTGGATGCTGCAAAGGTCATAAGTGTGAAAAATGGCACCGTAAGTCCCTTTATTTCCAGGCCACTGTAACTTCGGTCACTAAACGAACGGTTATAAGCCGAGGACTAACTGTGCTGTAAGGAAACGTATCACTCCAATTTCGGGGGTGTTTGGGGGGAGGAACTGTAAAAGGAAACGAATCGCCGGAGAAATGTGGGCCAGACTTGACAAGCCAGATTTCATCTGAGTTTCTTAACGCCGTTATTTAAAAGTTACAGGCTGGGCTAAGCAAAACCATATGAGGAGCTGCCAAGGATCAATTTCTAAAGGATGGGGGGGGGGGGGGGGGGGGGGGGGGAGAGAGAAAGGGAAAGGGAAAATCTCAACAGCCATCAGAGAGGGATGTTTGGCGCATTTAGCTTCTGCAGGTCTCTCTCTCTCCCTTTCTTTCTCCCTCCCTCCTTCTCTCTTTCCCTCTCCCCACCCTTACCCTCTCTCCCTTTCTTTCTCCCTCTCTCCCTCTCCCCCTTTCTCTCTCTCCCTTTCTTTCTCCATCCCTCCTTCTCTCTTTCTCCCTCTCTCCCTTACCCCCTTCCTCCTTCTCTCTCCCTCCCTCCTTCTCTCTCTTCCTTTCCCTCTCTTCCTTTCTCCCTCTCTTTCTGTCTCTCCCTTTCTCTCTTCATTCGTCTCTCTCTCCCTCTCTTTCTCTCTCTCCCTTTCTCCCTTCCTCCTTCTCTCTCCCTCCCCTCCTTCTCTCTCTCCCTTTCCCTCTCCCGCCCCCCCCATTTCTCATTTTCTCCCTCTTTCTCCCTTCCTCCTTCTCTCTTCCTTCGTCTCTCTCTTTCCTCTCATTCCCTCTTTCTCTCTCTCCCCTTTCTCCCTTCCTCCTTCTCTCTCCCTCCCTCCTTCTCTCTCTCTCCCCTTTCCCTCTCCCGCCCCTCCATTCTCACTTTCTCCCTCTTTCTCCCTTCCCCCTTCTTCTCCCCTTTCTCTCTTCCTTCGTCTCTTTCTCTCTCCCCTTTCTCTCTCTCCCTTTCTCTCCTTCCTCCTTCTCTCTCTCCTTTCCCTTTCTTTCGCCCCCTCCCTTTCTCCCTCTCTCTTTCTCTCTCTTTCTCCTTCTCTCTCTCCCTTGCCCCTCTCCCTTTTTCCCTCTTTCTCTCTCTCCCTTTCTCCCTTCCTCCTTCTCTCTCCCTCTCTCTCCCTCCTTCCTTCTCTTTCTCTTTCCCTCTCCCGCCCCATCTCTCCCTTTCTCCCTCTCCCTCTCTCTGTGTCTCTCCCTTTCCCTCTTTCTCCCTTCCTCCGTCTCTCTCTTTCTTTCTCTCCCCCTCTCTACTTCTCCCTCTCTCATCTCTCTCCCTTTCCCCCTCTCTCTTTCTCTCTCTTTTTCTTTCGCCCTCCATACCTCTCTCTGTCTCTGTCTCTGTCTCTCTTTCCTTTGGAAAAAGATATGCTAAATTTCAGAGAATTCAAAGCTCACCTTTTTTTCTTTCCTAAGTTGCTGGACCGTGTCGTGATTTTTTTTGCGGGGTGGTGGAAATCTCCCTCCCTGGTTTTAAGTTGAATTTGCTTGGCTGATTTGGGGAGGGGAAAAAATTCTATCTACTCTTTTTGTTTTCTTAGGCCATTTTTTTTTTGGATGGTGGCTCACTCTCTGCGGACGGCTAGATGGGGCCGACTTTCGGAGCGAGCCGAGGAATTGAAACTCAACCCCTACCTCTCCTGTGTTCAGAGATGCCCTGTAAATTCAGACACCCAAGAGACCGAATCTCGTTTGTTCTAACTTCATCTGGACAGCAGCAATTGGATCTCTCCCCAGGGCCCCGTGTGTCATGTGCAAATAACACGGATGTCGGTGAACCCTGTGGGTAGAGTAGGATTTCTACACGTTTCATTCGGCTGTTTTATAAAGAATAACTATGATGAGCAGGTAAAAGCAGAAACGGAATAGGAATGGAATATAGAATATAGAAAATGACGCTATAGAGCACTGCACACCAGAACAACTGGACACAAGAACAGTTTTTTCCCGAACGCCATCACTCTGCTAAACAAATCATTCCCTCAACACCGTCAAACTATTCACTAAGTCTGCACTACTATTAATCTTCTCATGGTTCCTATCAACCATCTCCTCCCACTAATGACTGTATGACTGTAACTTGCTGCTGTATCCTTACGATTTATATTGTTTCCTACCGTGTTTCCCCGAAAATAAGACCCTGTCTTATATTTTTTTTGAACCCTGAAATAAGCGCTTGGTCTTATTGCCATGCGCTCAAAAGCCCAATTGGGCTTGTTATCAGGGGAATGTCTTATTTTGGGAGAAACAGGGTTATGTAGGATTCGGTTGCTTATTTGTACCCTGTGACTATCATTGAGTGTTGTACCTTATGATTCTTGATGAATGTATCTTGCCTTTTTATGTACACTGAGAGTTTATGCACCAAAGACAGATTCCTTGTGTGTCCAATCACACTTGGCCAATAAAGAATTCCATCTCTATCTATCTATCTATCTATCTATCTATCTATCTATCTATCTATCTATCTATCTATCTATCTAGAACAGTGATGGCTAACCTTTTTGCCATCGCTCTATATCATATCTATATCTATCTATCTATCTATCTATCTACATCTATCTATCTAGAACAGTGATGGCTAACCTTTTTGCCATCGCATGCCAGGAAGGGGGGCAGGCGAGGTTCGCGCCGATGTGTGCCCACACCCCATAATTACATTCGGGCCATTTTGGGCCTCCGGAGGATCTCCGAAGGGGGGGGAAGGCTGTTTTCGCCCTCCCCAGATGCATAGAGAGGATCTGGATCCAGGTGAGAAAGAAAAACAGGCCTTCCCCACCCACCCCAAGCCCTCCAGAGGCAGGAAACAACCTGTCTCCCTACTTCTGGTGGGCCCAGGAGGCTCGAAAATCAGCTGGCATGCGAGCCGGAGCTGAGCTGGGGTGCCCATTGATATGGCTACGTGTGCCACCTGTGGCATGTGTGCCATAGGTTCGCAATCACGGATCTAGAATATAGAATAGGAATGAAATACGAATGGAATGGAATCTTGAGTCCTTGGTGCTCTCTGTGCTTGATTGTTTTCTTGCCGACGTTTCATTACCCAACTAGGTAACACCATCAGTGCTAGAAGAGAGTGGGGTTTGTGAAGGAGAAGGAGGGGGAACTGTGGGGTCCCTGGTGCTCTCTGAGCTTGCTTGTTTTCTTGCAGACTTTTCATTACCCAACTAGGTAACAACCGTAACATCATCAGTGCTAGAAGAGAGTGGGGTTTGTGGAGAGATGGAGGAGG